CGAACTCACAGAGATCCGCCTGGCTCTGCCTCCCGAGTGCTGGGATTAAAGGCGTGCGCCACCACCGCCCGGCGATTTGATGATATTATTAATTAGGCGGCTTGATTGTTGGCTAGAGGCTAAGATCTACTGACTGTCCTACATAATTTCCAACTGCATTCTAAATACCTGTGCTTACACCCAAAGGTGAGAGTTGCTTTCACCTCTCATCAAAAATAACTTTTTTTTTTTTTTTTTTTTTTTTGCAGGTTCGATTTTTTTTTTTTTTTAGCTTTTGCAGGAAATAGAGATCATTAGAGAAGGAAAAACTGGTCAAAATATGGAGAACAACAGAGTGTGAGGTGCCTTCCCAACTGAAATAACAACATGACTTCCGACATGCAAGGCTCAGGAAACATGGTGGGAGAGGGAGCAAAAATACTTTCAGGGCCAGAGGAGCAGGGATCTGCTATGAGATAGTTCTCTAGATATGACAGGGAAGCCGCACCTAGGAAATCTTAACAATAAGGCTGCCTAAAAACAAGACCTTAAAAAGAGCAACATCAATTGCCATGCCAACATGGATCAGGGATTCTCATGGGACTTTACCTCTAGATCTGAGAGAGGGAGAAATAGTCTTCTCCAGGAAAAACCTCCTGATCGGGTTGCCAATCCCAGGAGATTGCATATCTACATAAATATATATTTATGCTTTTTATGGAACAATTAATTAAAGAATAAAAGGCCATTAACTTGAGGAGTGAGAGGGAGAAGGTAGAATGGAATGATACAAATTCATTACTCATATATGAAATCCTTAAAAACAAAATCGTGAAATATTATTATTGTAAGAAGGACATTAAATGACTACTTGTTATTGTTCTGCTCTGGGGTTGGGGATGTCTAGTTGACTGTTGGCTAACTGCTGTGATCTACTAACTAATCTACAATCTTTGCTTGCCAATGCTGCCCTCTCCTGGACATCATAAATATCAAAGCCTTTCTATTTCAGCTGCACAGATTTTTAACATTTAAGATGTTTCATAATCTTCTAGCGTTCAAGACAATACACAGAAGTTTATTTAGTCTAACGATAGTGATGACTTCTTAACTTGTGGAGACACTTAAGGAAAATAATTCAGAAGAAACACAGAGAAGGATGATCATGTCCCCCAAGGTCATACACCACAAGGCTTGCTTATGGCAGTTCGGCAGCTGGCTGCTGTACACCTGACTTCACACCTCAAGCTAAAGATAAGACCCTGACTCCTGCGCTGTTTCCTTCAAGACATTTGTTTCTCCCTTTTCAAAGACAGAAACCCTTATTGAAGTGGACCCAGCAAATAGAACTTTAACAATTGGATGGACTTCTTTAGAGTTCAGATTGCTTCTGAAAATGAAGATAATATTTCTGCTTCACAGACATGCTGTCATAATCACATCAAATCACACATAAATGCACATTTATTAGAGTTATATGTAATTTGCCTTTTCTTTGAGTTATTTATAATGCTTTTTAAATAGTAATTTGCCTATTGGTTTATTTCGATTTATGTTCCATAAAAATTACTAAAATTTTGTTTTTTTCTTTCTATATTCAAATTGATTGGAACATTTTCCTTTAGTTAATTATTTTTCAAATGAAGGTAACAGTCAAAACAACACAAGTCAAAAATGCAACACTCACCTGGTTGGGAATATTACGGATGGTCTGACCCTGGGCCCACTGGTTCATATCAGTCTGCTGTTGGGCAACAGGCAGGCAAAACTGGGGGCAGGAAAAGTCCTGGAAAAACTGCTTGATTTTTTTCTAGAAGGGAATAAATGTACCAGTATTTATGAAGTGACTGTTCTCTATGGCTCAGAGTGCATCTGGATGAAATCAAATCTATATAAATATCAAAACTATAATTTTGTTTACTAAGGTTTACTAAGCAGACAACATTTTATTATATAATACAATGTAAAAGTGAATTAAGTGGATTTTAGAATTGAAGGAATTATTAGGTTAGAATTTCAGAAGTAAGTGTTTATGTGAAGGGCAAAATATTATGTAAATGTAGAAATTGAGAGTTGTCCGGGGAATAGCTGGCATTGCTGTTTCTTTCATTCATTCACATTTCTCTCAAGAAGCTTGATGCCTGCACTCTTAAATAGTGATATTTATGTTTACTTTGTTGTAGGATAACTTCTTAATGGCTTATGGCATCACTGTTTGAGAAATAATGTGAGCTGATGGATGCACTGGCATGTATAGTACCTGTCTTCTATACCTGTCCTGGAATGATCCAACTTTGATTTGGCTGTAGCTGGCTGCCTAAAATAATTGTGTTAGCTGAAGTTGAAACCATATTTTTTAAAAAAGCACATTTATTTGCAGAGAATTTCCAGTCCACACAGATAATAATAGAGTAGATGTATAGCAGAACATTAATGTATATGTTTGGGTGTCAGCTTAGATGGGCACATACATGAGAATGGTATAATGGTGTGAGAAAAGAGTATTGTATAACTATTTCTTTAGATTATTTTTCCTTGTTTTTAATAGTACAACGTACTATTTTGTTATAATAGTCTTAGAATGGAATTTTCAATATGTATAAAATCAGTGATTGCTATCCTTTTGTTTATTTTCTCAAACTTCTACTCTGTAGCTTGAAATTATCCTCTAGCATCCTTTTCAAACCTACAGCTGTGGTGTCAGTGGCTTCTTTTGGGTTAAAGAAGACGTAGCATGGAAGAGTGAAGTAACTGCTCAAGGGGTTAAAGTTGGAAAGGAATTTGCCTGGTTTTGATACTTTCTTGCACTGTACATCAGAATGAGAACTTTTAGTAGCATATGACATTAAATGATCTATCTTTTCTTGTTGACTCAAAGAGAAACATGATGAATTACATTACTAAGAAATTACACAGATACATCAAGGAAATCAGTTAAAATACTTTTCTGAGTTTTTAAATCCTTTTGAATTTACTTAGATTGCCTGAGTTTTGTTAAAATTCTGCAATTTTAAGATATTATTCACATATATGGTACCAGTTTTTGTCAGAATTTGATATTAAATATTTTCTTGGGAAGAAATGATCGCGACAAACTTACCTGCTCATTTAGGTTGACCTTTTGTTCTTCAGTCTGTACAATTTTCTGTTAAAAATATTGTACATATCAGAGAGATACAGATAGAAATGCTGCTAATCAAAGTAACTTATTAACTTAGTTGAATTATAATTACTTACATCATTGATTTTCTCCTCAGATTCCTAAAGCAAAACATGAAAAGAAGTAGCTTTACTTGAATGATATACCAATAGTTAAATATACATGATTTTCGTGGAAAGTCAGGGGCCATTATCCAACTACAAAGAACTAAGATATTAAGCCATTTAAGAATTCAATAGGCTAAATATTCATCAGAACTCCCTTAAGTTTCATTTTTCCTTTATAAAAGTAATAATATAATTAGAATATATTTTAATTCAGGACTTTATTAATACTATTTTATTCAGATTTTTTAAATTTCTAGACATGGAGTACAGACAAGAGATCAAAGTAAACAAATAAGACCAGTCATGACGTTAACTCACTCTTGTAACCCCAGCATACTCTGTAAACTGAGGCAGTAGGACTACCATGGCTTCAAGGCCAACCTTGGCTACATAGTTATAGAGTTACCCAGTTAGACCCTGAGTCCCTTCCTGGAAAATGTAGGAGAGAAGAGTAGGGGAGGGGGCGTGTTTGTTGGGAAGTAAGGTGAACTACGCCTCATGGGTCTTCACACAGTGACAGATAGGGCAGGAAGCTCCCAGTCTGACACTGAGATTTTATTTAGAGAAATGCTGAGACATGTTTTCTGAGACATTGGCTGTAAAGAGTTTAGGCATCATCCAAGGTCACAAGGCTCCAGATTATAACCAAATACAGTACTGTGAGCCCTTCAAAGGCATACTTCAATCTGTCTCCATTGTTGTCAACCAAAGGTATAGAAGGTATTGGCAACATACATAATATTTCACCCAAACCTTCTTCTAACTCTATTGAAATGGTTCTCAATGTTTAATATGATAGTGTTGCATTAAAGATTTAGTTCCTGATTCAACTTCTCATGGAGTCACATGTACAGCAAAGAACAGGGTGTAATAAATAATGAATTTATGAATTTAGTCAATTTAAGCTATGATGGGATATTTTTGAGAGCCTTTCCTTCCATTTAATATTCATATGTTTATCTCCTAGGAAATATCATTAGTTAAGAACACCATGGCTAAGTCACTATTTCTCAAAAATAACACAGAATAAATAATAACTTACCTCACTGGATGAACTGCTAGCAGAGTCCTTGATAAATGAAGTAAAAGTGAAACAAAAGAATTAGTGACATGAAGACAGATTTTCAACAATATTTAAGAAGCAGCATTTACCTTAACTTCATACCATATTGATTTCCTACTGTATTACTAATATGCAAAATGAGAAAGAGGATAGAAAGAGAGCATTAAATCGTGATTCATAGGCACTGACTATTAACCACATTCAGGAAAATAAATGGGAAGTATCCAGTTTATCATGTATGTAAATGGGGTTTGGTGAACACAGAGGAAGATGAAGGGATAAAATTAATGCAGATAGAGTCAAATTATAGTCCAAATGACTATAGATGCCACCTTCTGGCTTATTTAAGGAGGAATATCATGAAAAGTCTGTGGGATAGAAGCAACATTTCATATCAAGTATAAGTATTGTTAATCAAATGTAGTTAAGATGAATAAAAATCTTCCACTATCTCATGTATTTTTATTTGTGGTTTTCTAATTGACAAAGAATTACTCACATTACTCCTACGATATTATTTATGAAATAAGAGAAAACACATTTTTCTTAGAAAGAAGTATACTAATAATTTATCTCCAACTTATGAGTTTATATAAAAATAGTCCACTGAAAATGTGGCTTCAAAAAGAGATGCAGATATCCTTGTGGGATCTTCTCACATTATTACATAATGGCTAAGATTATGAAAACACTGATCATCTGAAGTTCAAAGCTGAATAAATAACAGTCATTTGGTCAAATGTGCAGCACAGGCATTAATAAACGAATTTTACCTGAATTGTTTGGACGGACACATCATTGTCCTGCTTATAGTTCTGGAAAGAAATAAATGACATGAATTTTATAGCCATATGAGTTGAAAAATATTTGAAAATGTATTTAATTTAAGAAACTATGACTTACTCTGTGGATGATTCTTGCAGATTCCTTAGGAAAAAAAATGATAATGCATTTTGATTACTTAATGAATTCTTTAACCCGTACTACCCAAAGAAGTATTGATGAACAGTGACTCTTGAATTCAAGAGTTTTATTGTTATGAGTTTTGAGATGACAGCAGCAAAAAGGGAAAGAAATTTTTTTCTCAGAATATTCTTTTGATTTTTTAAGTAAAATCATGGCAGGAGAGCAGAGCAATTTGTTGGGTGCCATTGAAGTGCAATCTGTTAGTGAAGCATGGGAAGAAGACAGTCATCTACGCAGGTGTAGATGTGCCTACATTTGGTACTCTAAAAGCAGATATAACCAATTACTGTCATCATTCACAGCACAATGGGATTCCTATTGTGTGACATCAGAATTACTGAACGATGAGACAATCGGCATGAGGAAAGGATAGTTGATGCTGTTGTATATTTTGGTTCATTTTCCACATAATTTTTTATTTCAGTGGACAAACTTTAATTTTCCTCTGGCTTTTATAGGGCATTATTGCTGCCCATAAAAATCTCAACGAACAAAGACATAATTTACTATTAGGTGCCAGAATTAGTATTCCATAGCAAAATACCTTACCTCAATGGATTGATCCTTTACCACCTGTATACATAAAAATAAACATAAATTTAATTTCTATGGCTTATTGAAAACGGCAAAATGTATCTCTTTTTTACTGCTTCTAATGGCAGTGAAATATAAAACAAAAGCTGAGGCTAGTGAAGTGACGCCGCTGGCATAGGTACTTGTCACCAAGCATCAGGACCTGAGTACATCCCCCAGGACCACATGGAAGGCAAGAAAGGCTTTCTAGTTCCCATGAGCTGTCCTCTGACTTCCTCATGGGTATTATGACATGTACACACACACACACACACACACACACACACACACACACACACACACACACGAATTAATAAAAATGACTTAGATAAAAGAAAAAACAGTTTCTTAGACAAATTTAGCGTGAAAGGGCTCTCTCTGAAAATCTGAGTCTGAAATATCAGTGCAAAGCAACTCTAACATAAGCAGTTTTGAAGATCTTGAGCTATCATTTGCTGATTACAATGATGCACTTTTAGTTGGATGAGTTTTTTTTTAATTTAAAAGAAACTGTTTAGACTAATAATAAAAAGTAAGAAATCCTGTATGATATCCTGTATGATACTTCCAAAGCATCTTATTATTTTTTTGTATACATTAACTTTGTTCTAAAGAGTTGAGTTTAGGTTCAGAATGAGGGTAGAGACAATGTTGAAAAACCAAAATTATTGGTACTATTATATATGTAGACTGATCTACAAACTGTGATAATAAAGTATTTTAAATGTATTATCTATTATGTGTTCTGCATTTTGTAATATAATAATTATCATCATTGTCATCTTTTTACTGTTTTTTTGGCAAATAAGTTACATTCAAATACAAGCTTACTAATATTTATTTTCATTAAAGTCCTTTTCTGTTATGTTTATGGTGTGTGTGTGTGTGTGTGTGTGTGTGTGTGTGTGTGTGTTCATATACTCATGTGCAGGCAGTAGCATGCATTCATATGTGAACTGAGTGCCCATGGTTTATATTAGGCATCTTTCCTGATATCAGCTTACCTTATTCACTGAGACAAGATCTCTCTGCTGAATTCAGAGTTCCCTGATGTGGACTGATCTAGCAAGCCTGCTTGTTCTTTGCTTTCCCAATGCTTGAATTCCAGATTGGCAGCCCACTGGAGGTTTTATATGGGCCCAGGGAATCCAAAGTCTGTTTTTGTGCTTGTGTGCCAAGTGCTTTATCTACTAAGCCATTTGCCAGTTCTACATGTCCCCCTGTGTATTTTGTCATTATGATTTCTAAACTTTTCAATCAAGAGTGACAACATTCTGTCCGTTCATTGACAACTGGTTCTGGAAATAACAAATTATGGTGGTGGAGTTTCTTTATACTTCGAGAACACACTGCACGTAGAAGTGGCTCCTCCAGATAGCTCTAACTAAAATTACAGCATGCTCTGGAATGGAAGCAGCTCTTCTCCTATTGTCTACACATACGCATCTTTTCATGGCTGACACCTTGTAGCACCACTGTCCACCCTTGTACATCATAAGAGGTCAGATCAATGCTATCATTGATATAGATTCCAAGGTAACAGGATGAGTCTCTGTTCATTGTTGACATTGCCCGCATCTTTTGCACATAGCAAAAGATTCATTCTTTTCATAATTCGAAAATGAAGCATCATGTATCCCTGTTCACTTACATGTTTTGCCAGAGCGACAGCCACCAGGCAGGTAAAGATGAAGTACTTCATGGTTACTTGGTCCTATAGAAACATATATAGAAAATGAACAATTCATTTTATCATGAAATAATGAAATAATCATTTATTTATTATTATACATGTAATGGATAAAGGTAATGAAGATAAATAAAATAGGATATGTTGGGGAATTTTATGAATACAAGTAGAAATATCACAATTAATTTTGAAACTTTTTTCTCTAACAGGAGATACTTAAAGCCACGTTTGCTGAAAGGTGAATAGTTCATTCAGAGACATCATAAATTCCTAGAACTAATCTCAACAGGTAGATGTTTTGCGAAGGATGATTATCAGAAGGATGAAATATAACAGAAACTCCTTTTGAAATTGGATTTTAGGTGAACTAAGGCATAGAGCTTCGTTCCCTAACAAAGAGAAGCAGTAGGTGGAAATGAGCCCTGGCTGAGAGTCAGGGATCCTGAATATCCTGGCTCTTCCCTGGCTAGAAGTAAAGCTGAAACAAGCTACTGAGTGTTATCCGTCTTCATTTAACAAGCCTAATGCGTGAGCCCTGAGTCCACTGTTTCTGAGATTGCTCTCAACCAGAGCAACCTCTAATTCCATAGCCACAGAGAAGTAAGTCTGAAAGTTTCCCTGCCAGCCTGTAAACCAATTTCTTCTCTATGTTTAATCAAATTAAAACTGAAATAAAAATTTTCTAATATCTTCTTTTTACATTTTACTCTAAAGGCATTATTATTTATTTGTTTGTTTGTTTTAAATCCCGACTGCAGGTTCTCCTTCCTCTCCCCACCCCCAGCCTGTCTCCCCCACCTCCTTCCCCTCAGTCCACACTTCCTCTGTTGATACCTCCTATGGGTATCAATAAAATAGGTTCCCAAGAGCCAGCCAAAGCATTAGGAACTGTCCCTGACATTGTTAGGAGTCTCACAAATAGACCAAGCTACACAACTCTCACATACATGTAGAGGTCTTAGGTCTTTCTTATGCAGGCTTCCTGGTTGTTGGTTCAGATCTGTGAGTTCCTATGAGCCAGCTTAGTTGTTTCTGTGGGTTTTCTTGTGATGTCCTTGACCCCTCTGGCTCCTACAATTCTCCCTCCCGGTCTTCATCAGGATTCTCCAAGTTGGCCTAATGTTTGGCCATGGATCTGTGCATCTGTTTCCATCACTTACTGGATGAAGGCTCTCTAATGACAGTTGAGGTAGCCACCAATCTGATCACAGGAGATGGCCTGTTCAGGCTATGTATCCACTATTGCTAGGAGTCTTAGCTGGGGTCATTCTTGTAGATTCGTAGAAGTTTCCCTTGCATCAGGTTTATACCTGACCCTAAAATGCCCTTCACTCTTTCCAGTCTTCTCTTTCAGTACTCTCACTCTCCAACTCCCCGCCCCCCCCAACCCAATCCCTCAAGATCTCATCCCCACCTGCCACCAATCTGCCCAGGAGATCTCTTCTATTTCCCCTTCCCAGGGAGATCCATATTTTAAAACCTTCCCCTTAAAATATATTCTGAATGCTAGTTCTTAATTAGGTCCTTTCTTATCTTGATGGAAAAGTACATTTCACATAGCTATGTTTACGAAGTGATTGCTATGTGGCAATCACTATGTTAGCTAGACATCTTATGGTATCATCTACAATCTTTAGAATAGTTTTGCAATGTTGGCAGACTTAATTTTTTTCTCCAATTTCGAGTTGAATAAATTGGCCCAAAGCCCACAAGCAAAGTAAACAGTTGGTAGATTTTTAAAAAGCCATATTATCTTACTTACTCCTGGCTTTAAAATACAACATCAAGATACAGTATCATAATAAAGTTTTTAGAATCGACATTTTAATGACTAAAAGTTGAGAGAAGGTAAAATACAAATTTGTATAAATTTAAAATGTCTCAAGCAATGTATACTGTACTGATCATGGCATTTTTACCTACATCTGGATTTTTATTGTGCAGGAGAGAATGAACAGATTTTGTTAGTATATACTGTAAGAGAAAGAATATGTGAAATGTTACCTTGTTTCCCAAATGGAAGACCAGAGGAATAGGTAGATGATGATCTGCAGTGGATCATTTTCATACTATTTAAACCTTGTTCCATCATGATATGCTAATTCTGTGGTTTCAAATACCTAAAAAAGACATTTGGATTCTAAGAATGCACTGTGATTAGAAGTTGTCTTTCTGGCTTTTGTTCCACAGATTTCAAGGAATTTTTAATCATAGTTTGATTGAGAACATGATAACATGGGGGGGGGGAGCTTACGATGATGTATAATGGCTAATTGTATTTGAGTGTAGCCTCACCTGTTCTGTGAACTAATTTTCTGATTCTAGTGTTTTTAAAACTTTCTCCCATTTATTGTCATATTGTGAACAGTGATATTTGTGATCTCATTTCTGTCTTGAAGCTTATTTTATTATTTTATTTCATGTATATGTGTATAGGCCTGAGTGCATATATGTGTACCATGTAGAGGCAGGAGCTCTCAGAGTTCAGAAGAAGGAGTTGGATCCAATGGAGTGATAGTTACAGGTAATCATGGGTCCTGTGAACCAAACCAGAATCTTCTGCAGAAACAACCAGTATCTTAATTGCGGAACAATCTCTCCAGCCCGATAGTCTCATTTCTTGATACTGTTTTGTTACAATCATAGTCTTTCTTGAGAACACCAAGAAATTCCTTGTTTCTATGACTCCTCATCTTTTTTTTTTTTCTGACTATGAAGTCCCTGCCTTGGCTTCTTTCAAAGAATGAATGGTATTAGCCATGTGTCACTTAAGATAAGCTTAAAATCTTTACACAGCCCTAAAATAGCCTACGAATCTCATATGATAAAATTCTTTGCTTTACTTAGTCTGCTTCCTCACATAATTAGTTAAAATAATGTACAAAATTATGACTAGTGTATATTGATATATGGGTATTTGATTCAATAAGTAATTAGGATATCAAATATATCCTGGCCTGGGAATTCTGTCACATTCATGACACATTGAATGAAGTCACAAACTAAATTCCAGGACGTGTGAGTTAGATACTATAACTGGAAGACATAAAAACCTATTACATAATTCTATCCCTGTTTGATTTGGCCATGACATGGTCTAAGCAGAAAATTGGCTTGGAAAAAAGATAACAAGTTTTTGGAGAGATGGGATTCTGGTGGTACTGTGCCCAGAAAGGCCTTCCCTAGCAGAATATCTGCTGGAAGATGTAAGAAAGTAAAATGGGACTCTAGTCCAGGCCTTGAAATAAGACCACACCTGGGTCTTTAAAGACAACTAACAGATTAGTGTGGGTAGAACTGAGTAAAAGTCCTGGACCTGAACTCAAAAGAACAAATAGGCTTAAAAATACAGTAACATTATGACATTCTTACATCCTTAAGACTTACCAAGGCTTTCACCATGAAATTACACTTCTGTAATTGAGAGCGTATCAGAAAACAAACATACTTCATCTAAATAACTAAAAGAAGAACAAAAGACATGAGACAACACATATGGTTTTGAGATGTCACCTAATAAGAATAGTGATCACTAAAAGATTCGGAAGAAACGAAGTTAAGCACAGTAACTCCTTCAGTTTATTATCTGAAAAGTGTTTGCAAATACCAAGAGAAAGAGAAAAGGTCTCAAGGCAGGGGTTGATTATCTAGGGTAGACATTGTTATTAATATTGTAGGAAAAGACCAGCATCACAAAATTACATTGAATGCTGAAGTGGGAGACGTGTTGATTCTACACAAGGACTTGAGAAGAAATTCTGAAAGTTGACCCAGTACTGTGGTATCTTTCCAAGGCTAGATTGCAATGATAAAATGTGGAGAAGCTTGGCAGTTTGGGAAAGAATATTAGAAATGAACAGGTTGAATAATGCCCAGAGCTCAAAGAAGACTTGGACCAGAGAGTATGGTGCCACCACCCAGGGTAGCATGTATGTATAATGCATAAGGCATTGTTAGGATTCTTAGAAAAGTATTGCTTCATTAATACAATAAGTTTCACTCTAAACAAAACAGTTCCCTGTTCTGTATTGCTTAACAAGGCTGGAAGCAAGACTATGTGTGGTAGAATTGTTTCAAAGGCCTTCATTTGTGATCCAGAACTGAAATCAAACCATATTTGAAGTGAAAAATAGGCGACATCCCACAACAGTAAACTTACATCATCTTTCATACAATATGAAATAAATAGCTATGGAATAAAAATAGATAATATGGCCCATAATGATGTTAAGTTGATATAAACAGACATATAATCAGACAAAGCCGGAATTAGCAAACAAGCAGATTAAATACTGGTCTTTACAGTTGCTTCTCTGTGTGTCTATATCTGTAGCTGCTTCAGGTCCCCGTGAAAATCATTATACATCACTGGAATCATCATGACAGCTAAATCATAAAGAACATTACACAAAAATCTCCTGAGAGCTGGCTCTCTGTTACCTGATTTATAGTTAAAAGAGTGGAATCTGAGTCATATTTGGAGGACCATGGGTGTAGACATTACTTTCTGAACTACTGGAAAGATTTAGGATTGCAGGCATACCACTGTCTCTTTCCTTTAGAGTTAATCCAAAAGGAAGGCTTGTCATTCACCAGGTCAGAAAAATGCCTGTGAGGAAAGTTGTGAGTTTCAGGGTCTTTTGAGCAAACACTGAAACTTGCCTCAATACATTGAGCAACACAATGGTCCTCCTGGTCATTGTGTACTCTCACATTGTGAGGGTGTTTTTTTCCCATGGTATTCTCTTTGGCCATTGCTCAGTCTCATTTCTCAAGTTACCACATTTTTCTCTGTAAGAAATACTTTATTCATTTCTTTTATGCTCTGCTTTGTGTGAACTATAAATCCTTTCAACAGAGAACAAAATGTTAAGGGGTTATGAGGAAAACATAGATTCTTTTTCTTTTAAAAAAATTTAAAGCATGTATTCTACTTATTTGGTGTCAAAATTCTGATAAGGAATTAAAGGTACTTTGAAATTATCATTTAAACCACCAGGTAGTACTGGGAAAGAAAAGTGATTCCAGAAACACCGAGCAAACTGTCTTCTCACTGATTCTTATCAAACATTTAAAATTATATTTTACCGCCAGACAACTCCCAAACTACTTTTCCCAGATGGAATTCAGAACAGTCAAAGGGGGAATCCCTCTCTCTCTCTTTATGGAACAAGTTTATCGTTTTTTAAAAGAATTAAAAATGTATTATTTTCTCATACAATATAACCCAACAGCAGCCTCCCCTCTCTCTACTCTCATTTCCTTCCCTCCTCCCCGCTCCCTCAGATCCACTCCTGCTATGTTTCCCTTCAGGAAAGAGCAGGCCTCCTGATGACATCAAACAAACAGCGGCATAACAAGATGCAGTAAGACTAGGCATATACCCTCATATCAAGGCTGGATGAGGCAACCCAGTAGGAGGAAAATGGTCTTGTGAGCAGGTAAATGAGTCAGAGACACCTCCCATTTCCACAGTTAGGAGTTTAAAAAAAAAAAATCCCAAGCTAAAGAAACACAACATGTATGGAAAGAATCTGCTCCAGACCCATGCAAACTCCATGCTCTATGGTTGCCACTTCAGTCTCCAGAATGATAAGTGGATTATATGTCACTGTATGTGATTCCTTAAGTAGAGCTTATGGTTTGAATTTATATAAAATATACTTAAAGAAATGTATATTAGTTAATCTACTTTGTCATATTGGAATTGTTCCAGGGAAAATTATGGTTATTCTCTGGATAATACCTAGTAAGTCAAGGATATATTCTTAAATTATTTTGGAACAAAATTGAGTAAAATTATTCTTATTTCTGATGGGTTTGATGATTTGGTCCTATCATCCTAGTTGGAGACAAAAATATCTTCTAATATTTCTAGTGGTAAAAATTATAATTATTCACTAGCTACTGATATTTCTAATTTTTAAAACCAAAGTTTTCTTTTGTTATTTTAAATGTTTCAAAGAATTTGTCTCTTCTCTCAATTTTTTTCATGAACCATTGAACTAGTTTTATTAGCTGCTGTTTTAAAATGTTTGTGTGAAGGATAGAGAATAAGAACAGCAATGGTTATTACAAATAGTAACATGCTTCCTCAAAACAGAGGAACAGGAAGAGGGGATCATAGCAGAGGAACAGGAAGAGGGGGATCATAGCAGAGGAACAGGAAGAGGGAATTATGACAGAGAAACAGGAAGAGGGGATCATAACAGAAGAACAGGAAGAGGGGGGTCATAGCAGAGGACAGGAAGAGGGGATTATGACAGAGGAACAGGAAGAGGGGGGTCATAGCAGTGAAACAGGAAGAGGGGGTCATAGCAGAGGAACAGGAAGAGGGGATTATGACAGAGGAACAAGAAGAGGGGATCATAGCAGAGGAACAGGAAGAGGGGATCATAGCTGAGGAACAGCTCCTGCTACAAATGTCATTGCAGCTACATGTTTAGGATTTAATTCAAGACGCCTTCCTAAGAAAGATGTGAACAATGATAGAACAACAGTCATGCTAATGTGGAAGGGGGAAATCGAGCCAGGCTTCAACTTCACAAGAAGCTCTAGTGGCAGCTGAGGAATGCTGAAAAGGGGGAAATAGTCTTTCCCAGGGATGATTCCCACTGTTATTCAAAATCAGGTGGTCAGCTGTGAATCATATACAAACAAGTAATATATGGAATGATCTGGCTGTAGTAACGTATTTAAGATATCTATATCTTGAGATACATACAGCAAGGAGAAATACATGAAAATGCTTGGGGGAAAGAAGGGTAGAGGGAAATGATGTATTTATATTTTAAGTTCAAAAAGTATAAGGAATTATATATACACATGCACATAAACATGAGAAGCAAATAAATAAATATGAATAAATAAATAACAACCTTTACAGCACCTGAAAAATAACATCTGAGTATGTTGTCTGACATGCGCACACAGAAATCCATAACAAGTAAATTAATAAATCAGCGTCATTGACTTAACCATTCTTATTAATTTCTAGTGTCATTTCCAAGCTTGGTAGCTATAGTTTCACCGGGTAGTGGTGGTGCACACCTTTAATCCCAGAACTTGAGAGGCAGAGCCAGGCAGATCTCTGTGAGTTCGAGGCAGCCTGGTCTATAG